CACTAATAATTCTAAACCACTTTTTGCAAATAATAAACTTTGACTTGATATCATCCCACCAACACATCCATATGATATTCCAAGAATAGTTTGAAATTTTTTCATTGACCATCCAAAAATGGGATCTCGTTCATTCTTTGATATCTTACTCAATAGATGTTCACCATATTTGTTAAGTGACAAAAGTATAATTACCACAAATTCGGTTATTGAAAAATACACAATGAAAGCTGGTCTTTTATATAGTTCTATCAAATCTTCAAGGGAATGCGCTGATTCGCGAACAACTCCAAATGCTGCAATCATTATTGCACCAATAAGAATAAATAATGTTCCTATAATAGTAAGGAATAATTAATAAAATAAAAGAAATTATATTCTCTTCCCTCCAAAAAAAAAAAAAAAAATTTACAAACCTATAAAAGATTTTTTAGTAAACACATCACCTAGTAATAATTTTGCAAAAAAAGCATTAAAAACAAGAGTAACTGCTCCTAAAGGTGCTAATATAATTATAGGAAGATACCCAATTGAAAACACGCTTCCAATTATATTTGAGATTAAATAGGTATCAAAACCTAGATGCCATAATGGTCTTCTACACGCAGATCTTCTTAACTCTCTTGAAGTGCTTTCGTTTAAGACATGAGATTTTCTTTGTATGGTTAAACCAAGAGATTGTATAAATGATGTCGATACAGCTATAGTGATGGCAACAACAAAATTAACCTGTGGTGGAGTTTTGCTTGGATCTTCTAAACAATTTGGCATTTTTTTTATAATTTTAAATAAATTAAGGAATTACGTATCATTAGGTGTTTAAAAGATTGAAATATTAAGAAATTTTTTAATTAAGAAATTTTTTTTTTTAATAGAAAACCGTTTAGATCAAATATTCTAAGGAAACGGTTTATTAATATGTTAATAAAGAAACAAGAAAACAAAATAAAAATAAAATCAAAAACCCCTATTCTATTAATTTATTTAATTTTATTTATTTATTTATTTTATTTATTTATTTATTTATTTATTTATTTATTTATTTATTTATAATTTTATAAAGTCAATGAAAATGATTTACCCAAACCTGATTGAAAGCCCAAAATACCGGAAAACTTGCAAATTTACTTAAAAAGTAAAAAAAGAAAATTTGCCGGAAGTCCGGAATTTTATTACATTGATGCGGAACAATGTTCTACCAAAGTTTTGAGATCATGTGCATGTGTATTACTTTGATACAATTGATACAATCAAATTTTCATCTGAAAGCGCAAGGCTTTGCAAGATTGCACGTTGTAATAGTTGTTTCCGAAATAAATATGGTATTTAAAATGGTTATAGCTAAAACAGTTAATCTGGAATGAATATTTTTAACATAGTCAGAGGAGGTGATGATTTTACGAAGGAAGATCCCAAAAAAGAGTACGGCTGGATACATCTTTGGTACTTTTACAATTAAAGAAGGTTTCGGTCATAATTTAATAATAATAAATAAAACGTTTATGCTAACAGTCAAATTATTGGAGTTTCATTCATTTTACATCATGTGATTTTTAATTAAAATGATCCGCATTAAATTCTTGAATTGCAAAGAAAATATGGTACTCCCACAACTTACTGCGCCACAGTGACGTTTTTGTTTTGTCATGTGATATTGTTTAGTTATTCCATAAATAGTAAAATCGACAATATCGTATTACCTAATATGGATGTGCTCACCAATTAAAAAAAAAAAAAAACGGCAGTTATTGGGTTAGCATGGTAAATATGTGTGCAACTTTGTGGCTTGGTCTCCATGATCATGATAACGTGACATATCAACAAAAATGAAAGTCTCAGTTTCAAAAAAAATTACGATTTGTTTTTTTTTTTGGTATTACATTTCCATTTTTGGAGTACTAAATGTCTTGCACTATAATAATAAAGGCATTTAATAGTGACGATTTCCGAAATTTTGAATGATGCTATTCTCAAATTAATATCAATTATACATAACCATACATATTATATGTAATATGTTTAATTGTTCTCTATTACTAACACCGACACAAAAGTTCCAACTTCATATCATATTAATTTCTAACCATGGAAAAAAATTCTAAATAATAATAATCATTAATATTGCCGATCTAAATTAACGGTTTCAATATTTCCGTAATCAATAATAATAATAATAAATCAATGTTTATTTTGAGTTAATTTGAAGTTTGGTTTTCTAGTCATTGAGTTTGGGTTTCTATGCGGTCTTTTTCTTCAGTTAATTCTTGAATGATGAATGATTGGTTTCTTGATTAATTTGGGTCTTTGGTTTCCAAATCCCTGGTAATTTCTGATAATAATTATACAATATATGATAGAAAGAAAAGATAAACTGTGTTTCTTGTGACTTCACGAAGAGAAAATCTCAAAGCCTCAATGTCGAACTAGAAGGGGAAAATTTTCTTTCTCTGAAATCCGCCCCAATTCAAAAAGTCGTTCATTCATTACCAAAACGACATATAGAAAGACAGAATAAATATTAGTATTAGTAGAATATTACAACACAAAATCAACTCATTTCTATGCTTGGTTAGTTCCTAAACATGCTACTAATATTAATAGATTATAAGCCATTTAGCTCGGAAAGGCGACTGTTGCTGTAAGAAGCGAAGCAATTGCTAAATTATACATTGAAATAATAATTAATAATCACCAAGTAGAATTTACCTACATGGACATAATAGATCCTATAATTTGTGTCTCAAAGTATTTATTAAAAAAAAGTATTGAATTAAGTTAAATTATCACGATTTCTTTTGTGTATCCTTAATTTCAGTAATAATAATAATAATAATAATAATTTATTTTTTGTTACACATTAATTAATGATTATACAATAAGTATTTTATTGTTATTATTAACAAGTTGTTTACATTATCAGCAGACACTTGTTGAGACACATGACTGATCATGAAGCCAATATGTATGCATGTGTAGAGAATTTGAAAAGTTGAGAGGTCAGATGCGAGTTAATCCTTACAAAAAACCGGCATATCTCAACAATTGCATAATAATAATAATAACAACGATACTGTCTGTATACGAAATTGGTCTTTTAATCTTGCTACTTTCCCTTAAATGTAGCTAAGGATATAAAAGAACATATTTTTAACTGCATAATGGCGGAACAATTGTTGAATTACAATCATACAAACTTGTTAAACGAAAGGATTCTTAATTAAAAAAAATTTTGCAAATGTGTCATCAGCGACCTGTAAATGAATCATAATTATCAATAAAAGGAATAATAACAATAAAATCAATAATTATAATTATAATTATTTTTAAAAAAATGGCCAGAAACCATGAGTAACTTGTTCACATCTTTTATAGCATTGACATATGTAAGCCAACATATAAATATTATTAATTACATGACACAAATATTTTTAGCGACGATGCTTGCAAAGGGTGCTTCCAAGCTAACTGGCTTACGAATCTTTGCCAAAACCAAGAACTTCATAATCTTAGTTTGTTGGAGTAGAGGATTGGACTAATAAAGATAAAGAATTTCTTGTACACCGCTCTTTATCCAGAAAATACTGACTAATTACACTTATTAATAGGTCGATTAATATTTAAAAGCGAGTTTAAAGGCTCTTTATAATTATTCTTTTGTTGTAAAGTTTTGAAAAAACAAAAATGCATAAGTTGACAAGGGAAAATTTAATAAAACGTCATCATTTACAATGTTACCAGATAAATTATTTACATTATTATTAATATCATTATTGAGCAAAGTCAACTTTCCTAGATGGCAATTCACCAATCTCTTTTGATTTGTCAATTATTTCCTGGAGTAGTCTGTTCATTTGGGTCTACCCGGCCCACCACAACGTCGTTATACCGACAAGACTTTTTCTAATACATTCTATCAGTTTGGCATAATATATCTTTGTTTTCCTGCCATAACCATATAATGTCATTATCATTAATTCGTATCAAATTGAATTGAAACTAGGTTTATTAATTGCACTAGTGAAATAAATTGTCAGTATAACGTCCTGTTGGTATATTATAATGGTGTCTGGAAACGTCTGTCGGGGAAATGGGCGCGACCCGTTCATTAAATGATGGTTCTGTTGATATATTTCCTCCATCAAGATATTTATTAAGATATTGAATATATTTCCAAGGAGTTTGTCTATTCTTCTTTGCCCGACTCTATGATTTCATTGATGACAAATTATGAGTCATGCCAAATTCTGACATAAATGATACAATGAATTGCTGCTCTTGTCTTGTTGATTATCCTATTATACATAATATTACAAAAATTCAAGTTCATTTTTAAAACGACCAAGACTGCCATATTCAAAGTGCAATTTACTTACAGGATCAGTCACGCTAGATCATAGATTTCTTCATCCACAAGTAATCTATTTTGATTTTTCTGATATTCTAACTTTACTCCTATTTTCTACATCTTAAATAGATAATAAATCTTTTTTTCACGTAATTTTTATTAGATAAATGATAAAGTTTTATAATAAATCTTTAGGAACGAGTGAGAGTGTGTACAGAAAATCAATATTTTTAACACAAAAAATGAGAATTGGCCTTTGATTATTTTTATTACTATTATTAAAGTTCAGATATTAAAATATTGCAATAATTCTAACTCTTCAATTGCAACGAAGCTCTTGTCCTATATGGAAAAGAGGTTCAGATTAAGGGTAGAGTGATAATAAAAATCAGACAACAATTTTATGTCGCACGATTTTATAACAGATAATAAAATATTTAATCTAATTACAAATCTCAAATCCGGTACGATCACGATCAGGACTTTTTTATCATTGATACATGTACAGCAACAACTCATCGACCCATTAAACAACACCTAATTAGTTCTACTCAAAAACGGGGTTTCCTTCCTACTGTTTCTTTGTCACCTCCAACATATTTAATCAATAAGATACCTCAAAAGGTTTTTCAAGATCATCCATCCTATTATTGATATGCTAGTTGATGATATGGGCGGACATGGACGTGCTTTAGAAGTATTACAAAATTCACTACATAACAGAGATATGGACAATTGTAATTTTTTGGATTTGATGAATAATATACGTACACAGCTAAAGGATCGTTACATTACTGGTTGGCTAAAGCAAATGAATTTAAACTTCTCCTTTGTGTTATTTTAGCACATCAGTAGATAGTAAAAGTCGTAGAGGATATTTGACTTGTCCTTATATTTGGATATGGATGACAGCACACTTCACAAATGACCCTATTTTAAGAGGTTGAGACTTCAACTATATTCAAGAAACACAGCACATGGAAAATGCCTCACTCCCCACAGGATTGCAGTATTAGCAACACTTTGAATATTTTGTTGCACGTATTTGAGTTTCTCAAGTCTGAAATATTTGATAGCAATAAATGGATTTTATTAAGAGAGCTTTATAATGGTGCAAGACATTCATTTGGTGATGCTGGGGTTCACAATTAACATTTACAATTAGAGGTAGCAAAGAAACAAATACCAACACAAACAGGTCAATGGCAAAATGTACAGTGTGAGAATGATATAGTTAAAAATTAGTGAATATTACAAATATTGCATAATAAATGCACCTAATGCACAAACTGATGATTTTGTTTGTGGGATACGTACCAATAAAGATAAAACAGATGAGTATGTGAGTGAGGTTCATCAATGTAACTTGTTGAAGAAACGTTCAGTTAACCAAAAAATATATATGGAAGAACATGAAAATACAGCAGCAGATGATGACATATTATATTGTACGCTTGTGGAGAATCTAAGGTTGATCTTCCAAAGTTATCAGCCATAGTTGATAAAGACTGCTGAAATGCTTATTTTGGGATTTTTATTGGATGAACATTTATTGTATGCAAGAATGGATCCTCCAAATTTGAATACTGCTACCCACCATTCAAGTTAGTGGTATAAGAGGAATAGGGAATGAGTATGCTTGAACAATATTAGGTAAACGCCCATTTAAAGATTTAGATGATTGTGAATCCAGAACAAAAATCCCTCGAATGTTACTTGAACAGTTTCAGTTAAGGTAGAAGGGCCTTTTTATAAGCAAGTTACTTTTTTTGTTTAAGAAATTGAAATGTATAATCAAGATTTTATTAATGCTTAATTCATATTTAACAATTAAAGTTTTTTTAATATCAACTCGGGTAATTGTTATCAATAATTTTAAATGTTATATTGTTGCAAAGAAATCCCAATTTGCATAGCAATCATTAATAATTCGTGATCCATTAATATTAAGCCAAATGATCCGTTGTAGCTACACTATACTAAAAAAAAATAAGCAATGGTGAGTATTGTGTTGTGAATGTTTAATCATAATATTAATACAAACATATATCATTCAAACGTTACACTACGACGAACTCCTATTAAAAAAAAAAAATAAGCAATTATGAGTGTTGTGGATATTTAATTATAATATTAAAACATCATTCGTGAGAATTTTTGTTTTTTAACGTGATCTCTAAATAACCTACATAATATAAATGTTGGTTTTTTGATACCTAAGTGAAGAGAAGACCTAGAAATATACATTGATAAATCTTATTTTAAGTTTTTTTTTATTTTATTAACCTTCAAACACGATGCTACTTACTCTCAAAAATTATGGTCGACCACCCCACCTTTAAAATCAACAAAAATATTAAGGGTTACTTCCACCAACTTTCTCAATTTTTACTTGTCAAGACATCATGTGACTTTTCTTCAAAATTGATTCCTGAAAGTTTCATTTCTGCATGGTCTTAATATTAATATTACTGTTACTAATATTAGTATCTTTTTCATCTTCTATGTCACATCCTTCTCCGTTTTTTATTCTTTTCATTATTGACTCCCAGTTGCTTCTATTATTTTCTTCTAGAGTTGATAGAAGTTGTTTGCAGCAGAAGCAGTGATTCCTTTTCTTCTCCGCTACATAAGTCGCGGATTTCAATTTCCATTCACCAAATGAAAAATTTGGGTTCGATTTGATCGTTTTATCAAACAATTTTTTGAAATCCTCCCATTTTTAAATTTCCTTTAAGCATTTCGAAATAATTGGCCAAGAAAATATGATTATATCGATAGTTGGTAAATTTTTTAACGCTGGATATGAAGTATCGTAAGAAATTCTTTTGCTGCCAGTGTTGGCCGTCAAAACTATTTTGAAGTGGCGAAAGTCAAAAAGTTACCAAAACTAAATCAAAAGTCAAAAGTCAAAATTAGCCTCGACTTTCGTGCAGTTACGAAACTCTCTAGCTTTGGAAACCAACACTAGTTGCTGCATGATGAAAATAATGTTTGCGTCAGGGCAAATCTATGTGGCCATGAGCAGAAATCCTTCTTGGAATTTGTTAGATATTCTTTCATGTGATTGAAAGCAGATAAAAATGACATAGATGAATATGAAAAATTAAATATTTTGCGCCAAAATGGTCTGAAAAAAGTATCTCTAGAAATTTATCGATAATACACATTTGTAAACTTGTTGTTCTAGGACCAACTTAAAATATTACTCTATTAAAAAAAAACTCTCTCTTTATATATTAATTTAATCGTCGTATAACGCAGGAGTGTTTGTTATATGTCAACAACCATTAGAAGAATGAACCAAGTTACGAAAATAATTAAATTATTTGTTTTTAATAAAAAAATAAACCGAATTTTATAAATTTTTATAATTACTCAATCCGAGTGAAAATATCTCTTTATCGATCGATTGGTTTTGATTTTTTTACCATCGCTTCATCACTTTCAGCTTCATCTGATTCTCAAACTCATAATCATAATCATCCTCTTCCAATAGCTGGATTACTAATTTTCTTGGTCCACCCAGACAGAAAGTTTCGGGATCACCAACTGTAGAAGTAACATGCAATTTAGTACAGTGTTTACTTTGAAATGTCGCTATACCTTTTGATGAATTTGAACTACTTGAATATGCATTATTATTATTACTATAGTGATCGTTGTTATTATTATTTATTTTAAAATCATTGTTGTTGTTGCTTTCATAATTTCCATTATATTTTGATGAAAATGAATCTTCTCCATCGTATAATTCTGTTAATCCTTCAATATCATCGCCTAACAATTTGCTATCTTCTCCTGCTAATAATCCTTCTTCTAGAGCTGTACCTTTCCTCCATGACAATATTAAAACTCCACATAACAAAATACAAATACCAACTGCCACTAAAACTAATTGCCACCAATGTAAACAAGTCCATTGATCATAATAAACAAGCCCATTTTTGGATGGTCAATGAAAAAATTTCAAACTATTCTTGGAATATCATATGGATGTGTTGGTGGGATGATATCAAGTCAAAGTTTATTATTTGCAAAAAGTGGTTTAGAATTATTAGTGTTAACTATAATCTACCGAGACAATCAATTCAATAAACCACTAAGTTGGATTATTGTGATAATATTGGCTGTTACAGCTTTGTTACAGGTAATATAGTTTAATATATATATATATATATAAAACCTAAAAAAGATAAATATTGATTTTTTTTTGTTTTTTCATGAAAACGTTTATTAGCTTT